CACACAAATCATGTTTACAATGTGAGCGGGCGGAAAAAAGGCAATCTAATATCACATTTGTCGAGACATTGGCGGCAAGTACCGGTGAAGAAATAACTATAATACACGCTATGTAACGATATAATTGCTAGGCTAATTATGTAATCATTAACCGAGCCAGCGGTAAATCGTCGATAATTACACCAAACGTAAATGTGTATGTGCGCGTGGGACAATTCCGCAACCAGGTACTTTTTTCGACGATAGATGATATTCCTTAATCTTTCTCTTTAGTTCTTTTCTAAACTGGAGTCGCGTCCAATAATAGTTGCTAACTCCTGCACCACATCTCGATTCGCATGCATGAACGCCTTCGCGTTCCAGATCATATGCACCAGTATTTCGTCACTCTTCTCGTCCATGGCAACTTCTGTCGACAGCTGTGGATTGAATCTGTAGTATGGTACGCCGATCATGGAGCACCAGGTGCGAGCGCGATCGACCACGCGGCCATCGCTGGCTGTAGCCTGATCGACCAGTAGCGTGCCCAGCGCAGAGATACCGAACGCGAGTTTGGCGGTGTCCCAGAGACTCTCTGGCCGGAAAACGTCAATCTCATTCAAGGTATACGTAGTCGGTATGAGTCCTGTACCAAGAGAGACCACTAACGACAGCGGTATCACCTCATTCTCGCGGTTAGTAGCCTTCAGCGCCAAATTATACTCGTGGATCTCTGTCATGGCATCTAGGGTAGGATTATTAGCGATCAAACCGCCGTCTAGGAAACGACCAAATGCCCGGAAATACGATGGCGCCGCGCCGGTGGCCCTCGCCGCTTTCCAAAGTAACTGCTCCTGTGGCGATAATGTCGATTTGAACATTCCGTTCTCCGGTAACTTCAAAATCATACTAGGCGCCTCGTAATTGCGAAATAGATGAAGATCCACGGGCTTACGATCGGCGAGTACGCCCGTGATCATTATTTTTGGTTTCTGGATGTCCGCCATGACGGTGTGGGCGCCGAGGCATTCTTTCAACACTTTCTCTAGACCCTCGCTATTGTAAGGTCGCGAGCCCACGAAAGCGTTCTCCTTGATACGAAAGTAGAGAGCTTGACATTCCCGTAGGGACTTACCCGCGGCGAGACCAAGCGCCAGGATACCGCCGGTAGACGTGCCAGCTATCCAATCAAAGCACTGCACCACGGGTTTGCGTAGCACTGATTCAATCTCCAGCAGCGTCTGTATGAGCACCAATCCTCGAATACCGCCACCATCGAGACAAAGTAACCTACCACCCTTGATCTGTTTATGGTTTCCATACTCGGCCATTTTTTCCATGCCTGATACGTGAAGCATCTGATCGAGAATCGTGCGCGGTACATACTGTGGCGGTTCCGACGGTGCGATACCAGTGTAGTTCTCGTCATGCTTGCAGCCGAGATGACAATTTTTCATCTCCGATAGACATCTTTGCGCGCCTACCGCATCCAGCAGATAGATTATCTTGTTACCTTCGGTAGTATCAACGTTCGCTTTGTGCCTAGGCGTTTCCGCCTTCCAATTCCGCGCATCGACATCAGAGCCGAAGCCGATAAGCGCCTGTACGATAGCCGGTGTTTCTGCCTCCACTGCAAGATGCAGCGGTGTATTGCCATCATTATCGACAATGTTGACAGACGCCATATGACTTAGCAAGGCGACTACGCAGGGCAGTCGTTTGCGCATCACCATTACATGCAGAGCAGTACGCCCGTCGAAGTTGAGCGCGTCGATGTCGCAATTGGTGTCGATCAGCGCCGTGATCACTTCGCGACTACGTGACCAGTGCAATGGTGTGCCACCGAATTTCATGTCCTCTGCGTGAAGCACGTTCGGCTTGTTGTGTAAGAAATCGCCAACATAACCGGGACTGGAGGGCTGACCCTCGGAAGCAGATATGTTCACATCCGCACCAATCAGCAGGAGTGCTTTTACGCATTCGGGCTTATCGTTCAGACAAGCAACATGCATAGGAGTGTGACCGTTGCTGTTACGACTGTTCAAACTGTTTGGAAGACCAGAGCCCAAAGCAAGAATGATCTCTTTGGTGGATGTAGCTGCATAATGATAAACTGTGTTCGCATTATGATCCAAATGTTCCAGCGAACTCTTCGCTGCTATCAGCATCTCGACGGTGCGCAAATTATTAGTTTGTACGGCGACTTGCAGAGGCGAAATACCAGTTTCTGAGTCCCCGCTGTTGAGCTGACTGTTGACGATCGCGTGCATGAATGCATCGTGGAGAGCAAAGTAGGCTGCTAAATGTGCTAGAGTCCATGTGGGGTGTTCTACCAGAGTGTCGCAGAGTTTTTGAATTTTTCCAACATGGCACATCTTTCATTCAGAGAAAAAGAATAAGATTAATTATTATCAATTATACATATAAAATTTTTTTTAATAACAAATCATTTTTAAATTGTGTATGGAAGATAAATGTATAATATGGGAATATTATTTCTTTAATGTATACTTTTTGTTTATACAATATATAAATATAAACAAAATATGAATAAACATTACCTCACGTACTATCTGCACAAGTACAGGGACTTTGTCTTTATATATTAAGAATCTTGTCTCTGCACCATCTAGAGTTTCTGATCGAAACAAACTGAAAACAAAATATTGAAAAGTCAAGAAGATATCAAAGTTTTGAAAATTCAATAAAAATCAACAGAAAAATGATAGATAATATAAAATACAAACATTCTGCTATCGGTAAATAAATTCAAGACAAATGTTTTTATGAGAATTATCAACTTAAATAGTAATGTAACTGCTTCCAAGACAGAAAATTAATACAGATTAATTAATTACAGAAAAATAATACGTAACATACTTAAATATAATTTACTTTTTCAAATTTTTTTAAAAGTTCATGTATCCACAAGTCTGTTACAAGTTCATTACAAACATCAAATTTATTCAAAATATATTCAAAGTCTTAATAATTATATATTTCAATAAAGATCACTAAAAATAAATCCAAGATTTGCTTATTATAAAATCACTTCAATAAAATTCATATTCTTCAAAAGAAAATTTCTTGTTTTGAATATAATAAATTTTTCTAAACTTTATAATGAGTATATTTTAAGATTATTAAGAAAATATTCTTTGTTAAAGAATCATTATTTGAAAGAAAAAAAGGTAACTGATAATGAATACTTAATCACTTTTCTTAGCAGTAGCATATAGAGAAAATTTTCCTTTAAAATTTACCCTAAAAATATAGTAGTGTGATAGTGTGTATGTGTGTAATATAATATTTGAAAGATTTTTATCATATACTTCAATAAAATTAATCAAATTTATTTTATACTTTATTGTAGTTTTATTAATGAATGAGAAAGATTTACATTAAAATTTTTCGAAATACAATGATGTCTCACACTATTACATTTTCAGGATAAACTAAGAAAAAATTCTCTCCATGTAGAATGATATTCTTCTGTGTGTAGTTATTTATATATTTCATATAATTTATAAAAAACACATATTCTTATAATTATAATATTCTTTTACGCCAAAATAATAAATCAATAATAAAATATACCTGTATGCTTGATGTAAGGTCTCCGTACATGGCCTGTGTAGGACAATCTCGTATTTGTCCTGATTCTTACCGCCAGGGCCGTAGAGAACAATGCCGTCCTCACGGGAATGTATATGCCGATTGCTGTACTGATCTGGCCGCACCTCCTGGATGACATTCGGCGGTGTGTCCGAGAAGACGATGTTCCGCAGAACATTGTTTGCGATCGTGCCAAGCCAGGCCATGGTGATACCGGTGCTGTCGACGAAAGCGAACTGAAGCGAACGGGAATGAGACGTGGATGCTTTTACCGCGCGAAAACGTTACACAACTTCCCGTTACTCATTGTGTCGCAGGAACGCAGCATGACAGTTCGGTTGTACTTTGCACTCTGTCTCGTTTTGTCTCGACTTCGTTGTTCGATCGTTATTTCTTTAAATGAATGGTAGTAATGACAGTATAGATAATAATAGGGAACTGAGGGAACAAGATTAACAAAGTATAGGAACTGTACTCGATATAGTAAAACTAAAGCGAGCTGAGAGGCCTCGCGCGGAAAAGATACCAAGTACCCAAATCAAAAGGATTGTTCTTTTTAACTGAATTTTTTAATTGTTTTTGCACAGTTCATCTTTTATCGTTTTCTTTTTCTTTTCATACTGAAGATGAATTGTTCAATTAAAAAGAACAAATCTATCAACATAAAATATTTATGTAAATTATTTTTTAAAATATTTTATAAACATCTGTAAAATATTTAATTATTACATTAATAATGGTTTACAAAAATACTTAAGAAATGTACAAATATTGTAAAAAAAAGATATTTAAAAAATTTCCTGGACATATTCATATTTTAGAAATAATTCACGAAAAATTTCTGAAATATTTCAAATTTTACAATGAAATATTAATTTTGGATAAATATATATTCAGATGTTAAGAAGATAAAGAAAGAGAAAGCAAAGATGTTGAGTGGAAATAGTATAAGATAAGTAAAGAAAGGCTGCGTTTTGTTTCACGCATGATACGCATGATATGCATCATTTATCCTTGTTTAACATTCGGTGAATGACAAGAATAAATAATGCAGCATGCGCGTCATGCGTGAAACGAAAACACAGCACAAACTACAATCATTAATTAAATAGACTTACAATTGATTCCTTCAGAATTCTGGGGGATTCTTGTAAATAAAGTCAGCAACATTGAAAAAAAGCGTAGAAATTAATCGAATTGAATATCGAAAACAATCGATCCTTCGATAGTCGATAGCAATCGATCCTTCAATAATCCGCCCTTCCATTTTAAATTCAAAAGGATTGTCAAGGCAACGGCAGGATAAACAAACGTGACGCATTTCGCGTTTCGTGCAACAGTTTCAACTGTGAAAAGAAATTTAAAGATAAATGATAGAAAATATTATTTAAGATGTTACAAAATATTTATAATGTAAGACAATGATTGTCGCGTTCGAAGTTCCATTATTCTTTTTTGTAATGATTAGGTAAACTGCCTGCTTGTCCATGCTAATTTTAAAAATCAGCGATGCCCTTATTCTTCAATAAGTTTTCCCCCAAGAAGACACCAACTAGGAAGGCGTCCGTTTTCCTGGCAAATAAAAATTTAAGCCCTAAACGAATAGAGAAGGAACTCGGCCCAGAAGTGGGTCCTATACGCCTCCGCCTTGGAGATCAGGAAGCTATTTTTGAGGCTGGCCTATGGATTCCAGGTGAATAACATTCATTTACTAAACAGAAACTTTTGCATTTTTATCTCAAATAATAAAAAAATGAATAATTTTGCTCTAGAGTCTGGTAAGGTGGGAGGTACTTTCAAAGAGAATGAAAAATTAAAAAAAGAAGTGAGGCGATTGGAGGAAGAGAATAATCTGTTAAAGCTAAAGTTTGATGTACTTTTAGATATGGTAATCTTTTTTTATATAATACTTTTTAAAAAATTATAATAAATTTATTTTTGAAACAATATATAATATATAAGATATATAATAAAATTATAATAATGAATCTATAAAATATATATATGCGTATGTGCGTGCGTGCGTGCGTGCGTGCGTGCGTGCGTGCGTGCGTGCGTGAGTGAGTGAGTGAGTGAGTGAGTGAGTGAGTGAGTGAGTGAGTGAGTGAGTGAGTGAGTGAGTGAGTGAGTGAGTGAGTGAGTGAGTGTGTGTGTGTGTGTGTGTGTGTGTGTGTGTGTGTGTGTGTGTGTGTGTGTGTGTACACAAGAAAAAAGTTTATCAAATTAAGAATAAAAGTAGAACGTAATAAAAACATATAATGATAAACATATAATGATATCGACAATTACATTTTATATTTTTTACAGTTAACACAAACAACTGCCGAAGTTCACTCACAAAAGGAAGAATTAGAGAAACTAAAAAATTTTTCTCTTAACAAAAAAGTTGTCGTTTGAACCATTAAACATTGTTACTTGCTTACTATATAAATAGAAACTATAAAACTAGAATATCAATAAGAATTATAAAATAACTATAAAATAACAATAATTTATTATCAAACTTCTTTCCAATAGAAGTCTTAATAGTTGTAAAAGAGTTACAAGGCAGAAATCAACTCTTACAAATAAAAAGTATTTGACACGTTTCCATTCTAATTAAGCTTTTTATAACGCTAATCATTACAATCATCACTGTATATTATTTACATTCCTGTTTTCGAAAAATTTTATCGATGTAACTCATGAGGGAGAGATAACGTGTGTGAGTGACTATATTTGGACATTTGTATCTCATGTGACCTGTGAAAGAATATATAACACAAAATGTAAAATATAATATGTACAATTTGAATATGATAATAGATGTAATTGAGAATAATAAAAATGTTATTTTAAAAAATTAATAAAAGAAACAAAAAGAGAAAAGTAGAGTCCAACCGAAACTTTTGTCGAAACTGAACCAAAACACTCTACATGTCAATTTCAACCGAAACCAAAATTAAAAAATAGGAATCCTATAAAGGCCATATGTATTGGATTGTCCGGAAAGTTCATGCCGATTTTGAAGGAAAATTGAAATGCAGAAGATTTAAATTTTTAATTTCATTTATTAAATTTAAATCTTTTGCGGCATGAACTTTCCGGACAACCCAATATATAGACATTCCCTTGTATCATATTTCTTTATAAATATCATAATTTACTGAAACAATAATTAAGTTTGGGCCCAAATAAAAAACCGAAATTTTGGTTGTGTCAATTTTGGTCAAAAAATATAAATGCTTTTTCTTCATAAATCATCATAATTTAATTATTATATGAAACGCATATTAAAATTAATATTTATAAAAAAGAGTTATGGTTTCAGTCAAAATTGACATGAGTGTTCGTTTTCATTTTTGGTAAAAGTTTCAGTCGGAACTGTAAAGAAAAGAAAAGATAACAAAAAAATGAATTCTTCAAACTTTCTTCTTCATTATTACCTTCTATTCCACAAATTCCACATTTTCTTCCACGCCTGATAAGTTTGGACTTTTTGGCGTTTTCAGGAATTCGGTTATCATCCTTATCTGCCCACTTGAAAAAATGACAAGTGGAAGTTGGACCCTTGGGACATCTATAAAATAGTCGTCCCTTTTTAGGGCTATCTTTGTAAATCATCATCCTAAAAAAATTCGCAAAATTATTTTTATATTAGATACATAATGAAGCTGCTAATTAGCAACATTAAGACTTTAATTAATTAATTAATCATTAACGTCATGTGTTATTAATCGTAAAAAGTTTTGTTATTTTTTCTGATCGAAGATTTTACTTTTGAGCGGGCTGATTACAGTTACACATAATATTTGTGGATGGATTGTCCCTAGAATTGTCCTTAGAAGTGCTAGGGCGAGAAAAGTTACTATCGCTGTTTTTGTCTGGTCTTGATACCATTGAACGTTTCTTCTCTGCGTTATCTTGAAATTTTGCACTATCCTCATTTGCCCATTTCAAAAAGTTGCAAACGTTTTCACTGCATTTATAAAATAGACGTCCTGGAATTATAAATATTATCCAAAGTAACTTACGTGACAAATTATATTTATATACGATTGCCACTTACTCTTATTTGATCCAAATTGTTCAGCTCTTAGAACAGCAGGTTTTTTACAATTACACATAATGTTGCGAGAATTACTGGACGCAGCTTGAGCTGATTTGTTCGCAAAATTGTTGAAAATACCGAAATTAATCGAGGAAGTATGATTTTTTTTATCCTTTAATGCTGTATTGTCATTGGCAGTATTTGATCTATTTGATTCATTTAACTGAAAAATGTTCGAATTCTGATTTTGCGCATGTCTTCCCGATGAAGTGCTAGGAGTTTCTATCAAGTTAAAATCGTTATTATTTCGACCAAAGTCTGTATTAATAGAAGTAGCTGTACTTTGCAATTGGGATGTACTTGGAGTAATAGGAGAGATCAATGCGTCCTTCATATTATTTTTCTTTCCCTTCTCTTGCATTACATCTTTCTCACCTTCCTCAAATTTTTCAAGCCACTCTTTCATCATCTCAATTCTCGTATCCCATACACATTCCACATCTTCTCTTTTATTATCCATCTTCGTTTTTTCTAACTGTCTTATCTCGTTTTTAATTTTATTATATTCTTCGCATGTTACTTCTAATTTCTTTATTCTTTCTTTTAATTTATTTTTTTCCTCTGTCCAATCTTTTTCCCTACATCTCATTTCATCTTTTAATTTCTCCATCTCTATCTTTATTTCTCGTTGCACATTTTCAAAAGCATTCATCACATCACATATTATTTCTTTCCTATAATTACCTTGCTCTTTCACATTCATCCTCCTTTTTTAATGACTTTCGTGAAATATTTGTTAAATATGAATACAAGAATCGATTTTCTCAGAAACTTTCAAATATTTTAGATCCTTGCAATATATATACTTGCAATGATAATTCATTTGATACAACTGCATTCCTGTTATCTTATCGACCTAGTCAAGAAATCTGTCCTTCGTTGCAAAAGATATTCCTATCTTGTTTTTTACATTAATGATCTCTTCTTTTTAGTTTACACAATTCATCTTTCTTCTTCTTCTTTCCTCAAAGACAAAGAAAATATAAGAAGAGTTGATGCAAGATATTCAGCTAAAAAAACAAGCCTTAGATAAGTCACAAGAACAAAAACTTAAAGTCTCACTACAAATGCTTTGAAGTGTCTTGAGTGCGGTCAATCGAGTCTTTTAAAGTATTTTAGCAGTAGATGCGATATCATAAATATAGATCTCAAAAAGTCCGGAAGCGGTTGAATATCTCGAAAACAAAACATTTTTAAGAAAAATGTTTCAGATAAAAGTTGTAGAATTACGAATCTATTTACTAATTATATCTGTTTGACTTTAAATGGCGTCGCTAAGATTAGATCAAAGTCATATCGATTTTTTTAAACAAAACATCTTTGTATTCCAGAATTTAATAGCTGACCTTGTGAGTTTTTCAAAACATTTTAAGAGTCTTTTTTTAGTCAGTACTTATTAGAGTTATCAAGCTTGAAAGTTATAGTATCACCGATATTAGCATTATCCAAGATGTTCGATCGATGGCTAAAACTTCTTGAATGTTGTTCAGGATCATGACTTAGGTAACATTTATTAAAATCAAGGTCATTGGAGATGTTCCTCTCATCTTCATTTTCACGTAAAATGAATTTTTAGTGCAAAAACAAAAATAACAGAAACAATTTGCAATTAACAATCTATTAAAATTAAAATTTGATGTACTTTCAGATACAATAATTTTTTATGTTATGCCTTTCAAAAATTAGAAAATTAATCTCTGAGAAACAAAAAGTATATATTTTGAAAAAGTTTATCAATATTATAACAGAACGCTAATAGAAACATATAATGATAATTGTTAATAATGATGTTAATTTTTTATAATTAACGCAACAATCGCACTTCACTCACAGAAAGAAGAAAGTTAAAGAGAATGAAAAACAATTTTTCTTATAACAAAGGAATTGTCATTTAATTTATTAAATATTATTATTTACACTGCTTATTAGGATGATGGGATTATGAATGAAAACTATAAAATGACACTAAATGATTATCAAACTACTTCCTATCTTAACACTTGTAAAAAGCAGTAGTTGTCATAAAGCAGTAGTTAAGTCTTAGAAATAAAGTTGTATTTGATACTGCTTTATTCTAATTAAGTTTTTTACAATTCCAATCATTATAAACTGTACATTATTTACAATACTGTATTGAAAAAAATTCATTCGTCAGTCCATCGCGTTATTCGGACATTTCTTCCTCGTATGACCTGTAAATAAGTAAAAAATGAAAAATATATAATATATAATATAAAAATATATAATTTAGATATGATAACAGATATAATTGAGGATATAAAATCTATTTTTGACACAATTAAGAGAAAGAGAAAGAGAAAACAATATTTAAAAAGTTCTTTAAATATTACCTTCCAATCCGCAATTTCCACACTTTCTCTTGCCTCCGGTGAGTTTGGGTCTTTTAGGGGCATTGCTTTTTTGTGAAAATTTGCTACGTGCTTTATTTCCTATTCCTCTTGCAGTGGAATTGCTCCAGTCCGTGTGACTATTGTTGGTGTCATCTTCATCTGTCCATTTGAAAAAATTACAAGTGGAGTTTACACCCTTGGGACATCCATAAAATTGTCGTCCCTTATTAGGGCCATCTTTATGAACCGTTAACCTACAGAAACAGAATATTTTTACATATATTATATTAAAGATATAAGATCTGCTCTTTTTAGCTGAACTTTTTGCACGGTTCATCTTTTCTCACTTTCTCTCCAATAGAAAAGGAAGAAAGATGAACTATGCAAAAACTTTAGAACAGATCTATAGTTAATGTTAATGCAACAATAATAATTATGATTTCATCACTCATTAATTAATTATTAATTGACAATATATTAATATTAATATATTAATATTAATATGGCCAGCCGAGAAAATTTATCGTTGGAGATTTTACTTACTTTCGAGCGGGCTGATTACAATTACACATAACATTATTCGTAGACGGATTTCCCCAATCGTTATTAGAAGCACCAGAAAAATGAGCACTATCGTTGTTTCTATTCCAGTTAGGTTCCCAAGTGGAATGTTCGCTCTCTGTGTTAGACTCGGCGCTGTCAGATCCCCACAAAAAAAAGTTACAACCGCTTCCCTGGGGTTTAGCGCATTTGTAAAACAGACGTCCTGAAATTGCAAATGTTATTCAAAGCGACTTATGTGACAAATCATAAACTTACATACAGTTACTCACCTTTATTTGGTCCATCTTTTCTAACTGTTAACTGAATCGCAGTCTCATGACAGTGACATATAATCTCAGCATTATTGTCTGTATTACCCCATATATCTTTTACATTATTCGTATTGCGAGAATTTCTGAACGTAGATTGATTTGCTCTGTTCCCTGGATTGTTGAAATCACTTGAATTAATCCAAGAAAAATGATTTTCTCTATTGTCCGATGTTGTATTTCTATTGACAGTATTTGACCTATTCGAGCTATTCGGCTGAGAAATATTAGAATTCTGATTTTGTGTGTTTGGTCTGCTGGATGATACGGTAGAAGTTCCGATCAAGCCAACATTGTTGTTATTTCGTACAAATCCTGTACTATTAGAAACTGGCTGGGTATTTCGTGATTGAAATGTATTTGAGGTAGATTGAGATGTACTTGAGGTGGAATTTAATGTATTTCTCGTATTATTGTGAGCAGTATAATTCGTTCTTCCAGTTTGTTTAATGCAATCTTCTTTAATGTTTAACATTTCGTTAAATATAGTATCACAGCCTATACAAGTTGTGTGAGAGGTACCGTACATGGGTATCACATTCCTGACTAATTTGAATTTTAATTTGTGTATATTTTCTGTACACTGAAAATATTAATCGTACACAAATTTAATAACTTATGAAAACATATATACTTATGTGAAACACATAAAATACAGCGAGCAAAGATATTTACCCGATTGCATGTTTCATTTAAAACTTCAACATCTTCTACCGTTTCTGGAAACCAGATCACGTTGGTACATTCTGGATATCCCGTACAGGTGATATATTTTCCTCTGCCTTGTCGTCTCTGTTTTAGAACCATGTCAGAGCCACATTTTGGACATTTAAATATAGTACTAATCACTGGAGTATTAAGCTGTATTTGCTCGGTTTGAAGAGGTCTCTCATTAAGATAGTGTGCTAAAGAGTCGTCTATCAAATTGGCGCGTTCTATAGCCACTTGGAACACTTCGCGATATTTATTAATTTGATTTTGTAATACTTCATTTGGGTTTTTCTTACTTTCGCATATCCTATGATAATAAAATATGATAAAAACAGATTTATACATAACCATACAGAATAATAGTAAATTTGATTGAATGCACTAGTATGCATTCGTGCATATTAAAACCATTGTATACTAATTTATATAAAGTGAAGTGCAAATATTTTAAATAAACGTTTTTAAAATCATATAGAAATAAGTTGAACTTTAATCCATTTCTATTAGGTATGGGAAAAAGTTCGTGGCGTTTTCTCCGTTACATCTAACGGGAAAAACGCCACGAACTTGTTCTCACACCTAATATATTTCAAACAATTATAAGTGGAAATTAAATTGATAAAAATTTCAAATAATAAGAATTTGTATTAAACACATATCTTCTTTACGTCAATTTATGTAAGACATTAATTAATGTGTACTAGTGTGCATCTAATTGGCTATAAGAGATTATTTAGTGATACATTAGGTTGGCTTACAATTGTAAATCTTTTTCTAAATCCGCACGCAAATGCGGCTTGGACATTTGAAAGCCCATATTATCGTAACCCATGACCAAACCAATTCCCAATTTGCCTGGCATAAAATGTTGAGTATCCGTTAAGCCCACATATTGCCTGGATTTGATGGTATCAATATGGTCAGCATGAGTAGCGTCCGTACCGATGCCGTGTTTGTCCATTAATGCGATCAACTCAGCCTCGGTTAATAAATTTGGTGCTGAAGTTTTCTCTTCTACCATATCAATGCTAGTTGGTCGAAAAACTTGCCGCTGTTCATAAGAATGAATCTGCTTGTTACTCCATTTTTCGTATATGTATACATCGAGATAATTTTTCGTTATGATTTCAAGACCGTTAGCCTTGAACTTCTCTCCCGCTATATCAATTTCCACCGTTGTTTCTCGGCCCTCCGCATTCTTTGATAAACAAGCCAGAAAATGTCGAACCACAAATTCATAGACTTTCGCTTCGTTTCCTATTGATAAATTTGCAACTGACTAACACAGTCGAGTTAATGATAAATAACTCTTACAGAAATTTAATATCAAAAGGTGATTAATTGGTTATTTTGAATATTAAAAATATTATTTATCAATGCTTTTATTCAAAATAAGTAATTCCCAGCATTAAATTGGCCAACAGATATTAGATTTCTATAAGAGAAGACTATAAGTACTATAAACGGACCATACAAATTGTCGGTATACTTTATAGGATGAATAGGAGGATGCGCTTGATCGCTTTTCTTTCCTTGTCTGGGAGTTATTCCAGATTCCAGTAAATTTTGCGCAAAGTTACCCCATTCCTGATTGTTTATTTGTTGTTCCACTAAAGATCTTAGATTCAATTCCTTTGGAAATATATTCGTTTCCGTGCGTGGGTAACTAATGAAACCTTGGGTATATAATCTCTCCGCTATCCTCATTGTCTCCTTTGCGTTTATGCGTAACTTACGAGAGCCTTGCTTTTCCAATTCCTGAATTGATAATTTTTAAAATAAAATATTAAATATCTCGCAACTTAAATACATCTTAACTTAGTTACTTACAATAGTATCCAGAGGTAAAGGTCTCCATTTGCTTTTTGGTTTGCATGTTACTTTCTCCACTGTAGCTTCCGGCTGTTCTAAGCAAATGTCCAGAAATATTTGGCAAGGCATTTTTTCAAACAATCTTACTCTGACCCATTTGAATTCTACAGATATCCCTTCGCGATCGTCCATCACTTTTAGTTTCCAATATGGTTCAGATTTGAAGCGATCGATGGCAAGAAACCTCTCGACTACAAATCCAAGCGTTGGAAACTGACAGCTTCCGTAACTGATGAGCAGATCTCCAAGAATGTTGGGAAATACTTTCTGTAATCTTAAGGTCTGAAACCTCGTGAACGCAGCACCTGTCAATATGTTTGTCAATTAGAAGTTTATAACAATAAAGTTATAAAGTTACAGCTCAATCATTCTAATTAATGACATTTAATGAAAGTAGTACCTATTCGTAAATCTAATTCACTTCTTACGTCTACGGCATCACTCATCGCCTTATTTGGCTGTGCCAAATTTTGCAGAGCTCTTTCAACAGACGATCTCGTAATTTCTGAGAATTTTGCTCTAAAACATTAAAAGGACATATATTACAAATCTTGTTAAAAATGTGTAACACAAAAAATAGTTGCGTTCAGCAAAGAAAACTAATCAGTGAGTGAGAGCTCAGTGATTCTTTAATGATTGGTTCTTGTCTTTAATTATTCGCTGGATCTAAAGGTAGGAATCATATTAAAGAACATTAAGCGCTACTGATCAGTTTCCTCTAAACACAATCAAAGTATTAACAATTACCTGTATACACGAATATTAGGCTTGATTGCTTGACAGACTTGAATAACCTCAAAACCTATGTTCTCCCCCTCTCTGTCACAATCTGTCCAAATAATCAATGCATTGCAGAATCGTGCTTCTCGTTCCAAGGTTTTCTTAATATTTTCATGATTCTCTTCCACGCACCGCTTAAATACTGGAGCATCGAATAAGTTTAATGGATGACAGCTGTGCCATTTACGATAAGCGTTTGTAAAATCATAGTTTAATAAATGGCCAGATACAGATGTCATCAGCATTTGGCAGTTTTGGCCCCATAGTTGTACGTTAAATTCGAAGATTTTGTTGTACTTGGAAAAACCTTCTCTCTACAAAAAATAAAATCATTAGTATCTGTTTCTATCAAAATATTTAATTTATTTTTATCTTTCTCTTTTGTAGTTATAAGAAAATGATATGAAGAATAAATTAAACCAAGATTAAAATTAATCTATATTAATAATGGATATAAAAAATATATTTCTCCCTCGGTTTATAAATAATATTAATATTAATATAAATATTAAATAAAGAGATAAAGAGAGAGAGAGAGAGAAATAAAGAGATATTATTTACATAAAATGTAAATAAAGAGATTATATATTGAATAACATGTATAAATAAAGTATAAAAATTGACAAAGCAAGACAATAGTCAACACTGATTTGATTCCTAATTTGAGTAATATATTCAACATAATAAAATTAATAAATAAATGTAAAATAATGTAATAAGCAGATGTTAAAATATTTTTAAATTATGAATGTATAATAATTAAAAAATGAAAAGTTAGACTAGGTTTATCTGATTTGAGCTCTAAAGTCAAAATACAAAGCCAAAAGCAAAAAAGTAATTTAGGTAAGATTTTAGAGATTGTAAAGTATTGATACTTGTCTGATCGACACTTAGCAATACTTTACAGTCCATGAAATCTTTCTTTGTTCTTTTTCAAAGAATTTTGAACTAGTTTTGAACTAATGCAATATGTTAGAGTGAAACAAACTGTACCTGTCTCACTTTAACTTACTGCATCAGTATATATCAATTCAGAACTTAATGTGGAAAAAGAACAAGCCTTATTTACATTGAACTTTTTACATCTTTTTTGGCTCTGGAGCTCAAATTGGACAGACCTAAATTAGATAGAAAAGAATACAATGCAAATGTTACATTATGGTATAATTCTGACAAGTTGTAACTGTTACAAGATAAAATATGAATAGAATAGAATAGAATTTTATTGTACTTCAGCATATTTACAGCCAAGAAGAGGACTTAGTTTATATAAAATTTTTAACTCATCCATACAAAATAAAATATGATTGAATAACGAGAAGTAAGCGAATGATAATCAAGAATTATTACTGAGAAAACGCTCTATTCATATAAATAAATAAATGCTTACCTTTCTGCTGGTACCGTGTGATAAATAACCAGCAATATTTTTAGCAGCATCAGGTTTTTCAGCAACATTGAGGACCTTCATGATGCTCTTTGAACAGTATTGTTTTAATAAGCAAAATGTATAACCAAGGTTTTTGCTAAATAAGTTGCCAGCTTTGCTTTTCAGACCATAATATATCGTACAATTCAATGCGATGGTATAAGACTTAAAAAAGGCCATTACATGATTTTGGCATTGTTGACAATTTTCCGCCTCGAAGATTATAAATTTACTACTTAATTTTTAATACACTCAATTTTTTAATAAACAACAATAAATGATGTATCAATACGCGATTTATCTACTTTAGTTGCGTTACTGGAATGACTAAATCGATAGAAAATAAACGTCCACTTCCATGTTCTATCGCGTAATTTTTTATACAGCTCATCAATAGCGAGACCAAACCTCGCTCTAAAATTCTGTTTACATATCGATCTATGCACATGTATGACACAAGAAACCGTATATATTTTTCAACGTGCAAGAAGTGCAAAAAGTTCAACTGAAAAAAACAAAGTGAAAATTGATGGCAGAAAGTCGAAGATTGGCCGACGTGTCAGCCATGTTCAACATTTTCTGTTCTGATGACCAATCGACACATTCGATAACAAATCCAAAAATAATCGATTCATAGATCGCATTGCTTGAAATCCCTCAAAATTTTTTTTTTATTTAAAATGACAATTTAATAAAATTTATTTATTAAAATGACAACATAATACATAAAATAACATAATTATAATAATATAATAATATGTATAATATATTTAAGCGTGAAAAAGCGAAGAAGCTAAGTGCATAAAGTGCAAGTAACACGAACTTTATATTGCTTGCATTTTACATCCTTTCGCGCTTTTCGCTCTTTAATAATATTATTACATTACAATTATAATTATATTATTATTATATCCATCTCCCTCGAGGAGAGGTAGAAAATTTTAAATAATTAAATTAATGTAACACTGGTACAATTTAGTGGAAATCGATTTATGTATTTTCAGTGTATTAATAAATAATTTAATCCTTTTAATTACATATTCTGTTGTCAAGGTATCCTCATAATTTTCAAATGATTAAATTATTTTTATACTAAAAATACGTGAATTAATGCATTCAATTGCACTCAATGCGCACCAATGTTGCACTAGGTTTCCCAGTGGAAAACCGTAGTGATTTTGCATTTTGTGGGTTTTGGAAGTGAGAAATCACTAAATTGCAGAACGTAGAAAGAACTTGGGAGCAGTGGAGAGTGCGGACGTCCCTCGTTGTTTTTTGCACAATAACTTTCGATCCAATGTGGATTTTTCTCAGGACACACGCACGTGGGTATCAATTGCTGAGTGTCGCGTTACGCTATTATATCACGTTACGTCATCGTCGCGTCTCCGACGAGTAGTCGAGAGATCCGCTCGCGTAAAAGTCGAAACGCGTATACACGTACATACACGTCAGGTTTCTTGTTTGTCACGACGGATTGTATTCTCTTCTCTCCCCCAAATGGTTCGATAATCCGGCCCAAAACGCGATGTTCCAGATATCGTAAGACGCTGATGTTTAACGGTTGTATATTACACATGTTTCTCGGAGAAAGGAAAGGTCACGGAAATCTGACGTGTCGTATCACATTAAGCGTTGCGTTGTGTCGTGTCACGTCATGTCATTGAACGATCGTTTCTACGATCGTGTTTAATTTGCATAATTAATAGACACACAATTACGATTATCATGGTGAAACTTTTTAGAAATTTTTTGTACGAATTGG